AAGTTTATTAGACGCTTTTCCTGGAAACATAATTACAACCACATGCCATTAATTTATACAACAAAATCAAACATCAGAAATAACTAGAAATGTATTAAAAATACAGCTCTTCCCAGCAGGTAGCAGTATGTTATAGAAAAACTAAAATAGGAAATTAACGAAATCTGGTAGAGATATAAACAATCAAAACGAAAATACTTTTTTTTTGTGTCTGTTCAGAACTGAACATCCAAACTCATCAATATCTTTTAATCAAACATTTACACACCTATGACAGGAACAGTTTTTTGTGAAGTGTAAAAAGAGGACATAGATAGAAAAGCATAGAAACAAGAACATTGCTATTCTTTCACCTAGAAAATATATCTTTCTATATTTGACACGTAAATATGGTATTTCGCATAAGCCAGTTATATAGATTGGTTTTTACCACCCAATTAAAAACAAATGGATGTGTATTAGACACATTTAATGTTAACAACTGAGAACATTATACACTGATAGTAGAGCATACACAATTTGTTGAAGTACATGCTATATATACATGAAGGACGTGCACAGGACAGAAAACTACATTTTACACAATTAGTACATGGCACATCACCAATTATGTGATGTCATCAATGCGCCCTCTGATGGCAGACTACTTCCGCTTGTGAATTGTCATCCTAACTACTCACATCATTAATCATATTACTAATGAATGAATACCCACATTTTCATAAAACACATAGAAACACAGTAGTGACTCCAACCAAGTTAGATAGACGAAGTAACAATGTCGTGTCCTTATATATACAGGACCGAACATTTGGTCAGATCTGGAGTATTGCCACAGCTGTTTCATAATGCTGTTATTATTTTGTTAATGATTAGATTTAAACAATCTAACATCACGTTAAAAACAGCAGCTTGGTATCTGTTTTGGACATTCAGTCACAATGTGGTAAAATTCTTATTATCATTATTGAAGAGGCAAAACACACAGTAAACAAGAAGAATAGGAAAAAGTGACGATTTTGATGAGAATGAGATTGAATTTCAGGATTGTAATGATGCTAATGAATATCAGGATGATGTTGAAGATGGCGCGATTGAATCTCCGGTTCCGAGTGATGCTGATGAACTTCAGGATGACCTTAATGTACATACCGCTCCTATTTCTCAGAAATGGCAAATAAGCCGTAAACTGAAAGGTCCAGTCGAAGTCACTGACGCTATTGATATTCGTGATTATTTAGTTTAGATTCCAGCTCAACTAATAACCACCTACTTGGCACAGATGTATGTCGATAGGTTGGACCTCCCATCGGTGACTGAAAGTCGTCAACTGCCTTAGTAGTGCAGTACAAGAAGTATGGGCCAATTCAAACTGTTCACAGGAATGTTCAGAATCCCTTTAGAATCACTTTGGTAAACATAATTGCCGAATCAGACTTCACAATTACACCTATTTGGAAAAATTCAACATCATTCATTTGGAAAAACAAGGGAATTGCTACTTATCCAACTGATGCTAAGGTTAAGTCGTTCGTCTCTCAATAGAGGGGTAAGCATAAAAATAAAACAATATGAGAGTATGTATGTATGTTTTTGAAGTTGAGCACAAAGCTACACAATGGGCTATCTGTGCTCTGCCCACCACGGGTATCGAAACCCGGTTTCTAGCGTTGTAAGTCAGCAGAAATACCGTTTGCCACTGGGGACCAATATGAGAGTGCAATCATGATTAAACTATTAGCTAAGTCTCCTATCTTTGTTTACTACCACAGTTCGTACTGTCCTAGTAGTGCATTCAATCGCTTGTAGTTTCGTCATTTGTTTTCAAAACTCAAAAACAAATACACATATTTATTTATTTATCTTGACAAGTTAAACACAAAAAACCCTCTTTGAACATTTCCGCATTGACACTTTTCAAGCCGTCCCCAAGCTGGTACTAAAGAACGTTATTAAAAAATACTCTTTCCTGCCCTTTAAGCTGAAACCATGGACTCCATTACGTAACTTTTTTTCTCTAAGACTTGTCAGTCATTTTCACATGTACAAACATTCAGTTATCATAGAAATAATGGAATGCATAAAAGCTTCTTTATAGCATGTGATTAATATAAACTTAAAAGACATTATAAATCATTCAAACATAAAAACAAGAATACAAATCAGGATTTTGTATCTAAACATACAAAATAACCGTGGTGAGTGTTTCCTTCTCATAAAAATAGATTACAATAAAACTCAATAAGTAATACCAAATAAATGTAGTATTCAATAAATATTGTTTACCAACAATAGTGCCCAACTTTTTCAACAATAAACAACTATAACCAGATTTCAATATATCCATTTTCCAATATTTAATACTGCACATTTTAAGTACTGAGTATAGATTATTTTAACCACCTATTGCATACTGTAACGTACAGATAATAAATCTATCTCTGTTGCTTAATATACAAACAATTGCTTCGTTTCCAGATAATAGTCTAATTAAACCATTAAAATATTTTGTTTGATCCTCAATTGAACAATGATACTTCTAGGTAGCGTAACCATTTATAACTTATCAAAATATATTTCGTAAAAACATAATTTTTATGCAATATAGACCTATTTAACTAAGAAACTCAAAGAAAACTTTTTTTCCACTGTATTTTCACAAAAACGCAATAAATAAAGAGTCAAATTGAAATGTTCCGAGATAGATAAAGGTAAATTCAAATTTTTCCACTGTATTTTCACAAAAACGCAATAAAGTAAAGAGTCAAATTGAAATGTTCCGAGATAGATAAAGGTAGATTCAAAGCTAAATCAGCATAGGAAGATACAGTATCATCATACTTTATGTCTACCATCTAGAAAGTGACTCTAATAAATTAATAGAATTCGATTAGAAGACCATAAACGTATATTTTAAATTGTAGGTATAGAATACATATAACTCAAGAGATCTTTCATTGTCAAAGAATTATGCGCGCGTGTGTGTGTATATATATATATATATACTAATTTAAAAGCGTGTTTTTTACCCACTTAAGCTTATGCATCATGTTTTTATTTCTGGGGGCTAAGAGATGTACTTTTATTTAAATGTGGTATGTTAGTAACCGTTTTAATGAACGTGTACATCCTTTTACAAATAACATGCACTAATAACAATACGTTTTCATAAAAAAGCGATAGCTATGTAATATTTTAAGGAGAAATACAACGACAACGAAGCAAGGCACCTTTTTGATAAGTCATCAGAAACAACATTGGCATCACTGATTCTTAGGTAACTCAAAGGCTTTGAGAACCCTTAAGAACGAGAATCTAACACACTGAATAGCTGGAATTGAATATAATATTATAATATCGGTGTTTTGTTTATAATATAAATACTTAGTAAAAACAATCAACGACAACATCTGAAATGTATTTCTAACATATGTATTTATTTAGCAAAACACCATTTTATAGGATCCAAAACATAATACATACACACACA